GGAGACTAGAGCCGAGAGAGAGACAGAGGCCGGAATTTAAGATAGGGAAGGGACCAGGGCTCAGTAAAACACAACCTAACTCAGGGTTACAAATGATAGTGGTTTTATTGAACAGGGGAGATGGTGACACAATATTTTATTGGTTCCTTTGCGAGTGTGTGCACACACACACACACTCTGAGACAATGGCAGCAGGGGTTAAAGAGACTTGATGCAGGGGCTGAAGTCCGGGAGGAGAGAGAGAGATTCCAAATTGGAGGAGGAAATATGCAGGTAATATCTACCTATCCCAGGCTGAAAGTGGGTCCTCGATGGCCAGTCGGGGTCTCCTTTAGCTTGGTGTTGTCCAGAGGGGGTCACCGGCAGGGCCTCTGGGGTGCATAGTCAGTGTGACGTGGAGCTGGTCTGGTCCAGATAGAGAGGGCATCCCAAGGAGTCAGTCTTCACTACCCCTTTTTATGGGGCAGACTACCTCTGATCTCCTATGGGGAGGGCCTGTCCAGGCAAGGTCAGTCCTGTTCCAGAGGGCTCCAGGTGTTCTTACTGAGCATGTGCAGCTTGGCACAATGGTGGGTTGCCTCATCTTTTGTGTCTTTGATGCTGAGGGTGGTTCCAATGGCTGGGTCATTGGTCCAGGTATTGGTGTTGATGGTTCAGTCATTCAGAAGAAGCTATTTTTAGACCTACTGCCATTGTCTCTCAAGCACCCTCATTCATCTCCATTCATTCAGGAACCACCTTACATAGGAGGGGTAGTATGAGTCATAAGTTGCACAACCAGGCACGGGGATAAGATGGAGGCTTGACATTCCAGGATGGAAACTTCACATGACTTACGCTAACTTACATATATAGGCCTAAAACAGTAATCACACAATATAAAAGCAGTAAAAAAAATCAATACAAACATAATAATTATCACTTACAAAACAGTGGCTATCTATATCAAAATAGCAGGGCACTTATTTGCAGAGGGGAGAGAAAAATAAAACTTACTACCTAAAATAAAATGTTAGAGCTTATCCTATATCTTAGCTTACTTATACTTATCTATAGGGAACAGAGAGGAAGAGGAAAAGTCAGAAATAGTTGGGGTAGGGGAGGGAATGCATTTTAAAAGAAAAAAAAAGAAAAACTGGGGGTTTTCCTACAGAAATGCTTTCAACTCTTTAGGATGCTATGGGTTGAGTTTGAAACATACCATGCTGGGTAATAGCCATGCAAGTTCAGCTGCAATTTCCTATTAAGTTAGACATGAGACAAGGCAAACACAACACACAGATGAAATGTCTCTATAAATCTGAACTAGAATGTTTTCTTCATGAAGGTGCTGGCCAGTGTCTGCACCCTCATAAGCTTCAGAAACTTCATCCAAACAGAGTCTTACAACTGGGAACAAGGTCCAGCTGGTAAAAGCCTTGACAAACATCATTAAGGGAACTCAACATGCACTAAACAGATCAGAATGGCTGGGCCCCTGGTGTACGACAAAGCTATATTCATGCAACATCACTCAGGAAAATATCAGTACATGTTTCCCTCGCTTTATGCTGTACATGCGTTTCTGGAGAACAGCGCATAACTCAAATTTGCATAAAGGGAACCCACTTTACAATGTAAGAAATAGGGATATGTTCCAAGACCTCAACTGTACTGACCCCCAAACTGACTTCTACCACTTCTACAAGACAAGTTTGGTACTCACCAACAGCAGACAGTACACAGAAGCACAGGGCAGTATCATAATGGGGATGGCAACTATAGAAACACCCATTGGCAACACCTGGAGCATGAACGACACATGCCCCCGAAGGCTGGGGTGGGGCATGATGACTGCCTGTAGGCGGCAGAGGTGGTGGCAGAAGTGGGGGTGTGGCGGCAGCAAGCGGGGACCACCCGCAGGCGATTGCAGTGACATCGGCGGCGAGGACAGGCTGAGCAAGGCCTACCTGTAGGCAGCCGTGGCAGTGTCAGTGGTGACAGGGAGCAGGGACTGCCCGTAGCCACCATCCACACTCTAAGCATCAGTGGCTGTGTCAGCAGTAAGGCAGGGTGGCGACCACCCACAGAAGCTGGCAGTGGCCTATCTCAGGCAGGCACGTACCCACCTGTGTCCCCCTTATGTGTTGCCTATGGCGTAGGAGGTGCACATGGGTGTAGGTGCAACTCTGTTGCCCATAGAAACGCGTGTAGCAGGCAACAAGTGAAGATCACAGATCCACACGGGACTATATTTTGGTGCACGTCACTCCCACAATGCACCACGACTGCAGGCTTCCACTACACCGATAATATAAGAGTGAATTTACCTCACATATAATGAATTTTTGGTATAAAAAAGGTCTTCACGTAAGAGCGGATTTGTACATACAAAACCCACATAAAGCATGGGAAACCTCTACTAGGATGTATCTGGATAAGGTACATGCTTGGAGCTGTGCTCTTCCTGTTGCATGCTGAGCAGTCCCCCAGGCAAACACTGCAAGTCACCATGGCTTCCCGTTCCAAGTTCAGCAGAAAATTTTTGGAAGGCACAGACTGGCCCCCACACACTGCATGCAGCATGTGCCCTGGACCAGCCCCATGCCAAGTGCAGGGCATGGGGCATGGCATGCTAAATGAGGCGTGTGAGTCTAGTCCAAGACCCGTGGCCACAAGGGCTGCACAAAGCTTCGGGTGGTGACTTGATTCGGAGGACATTCAACCCAATTCGGTGGCCGAATCTCCAAGTCTGAACCGAACCGAGGACCAATTTAAATGTCTAAATCAATTCAAAGCTCTCTGAATCTTTTCCGAAGATTCGGACAGCTTTGATGATTCGGGCAATCCCTGGTGGCTGTAGCAGGGAGCTACAGCCAAGTCTGAGCAGGTAAGTACTA